AAGACTCTTATATTGCTTCTTGGGTTAACTTCAATCCGCCCTGCAGTTCCTCAGCATGCAGAGGCAGACTTTCCCAGAGCTGCTGGGAACAGAAGGAGCTGCTTCTGCTCACAGATCCTGCTGCTGGATGGTCATTAAAGGCCTCTTTACAGCACATGTGGCTGAAGAACATAAAGCTAAGAAACTGCCCAAGTGTCAGTCATTGCCTCCACTAAAAGAAAGGGATAAGGGCCGGGGATGGCACCTGCCTCCCAAGCACAAGGACCTGAGTTCGATTCCCAGTACCAAAAAGAGCACGCACGCACACGCACGCACACACACACACAAAACCAAAGTGATAATTGCTGGTAATTTTATAGATCCCAGATCTACCGGGCTGTAATGCTCATTATTAAACAAGGTAAAGGAAAGGCCATTTTAAGTAGCAAGGAGAATCTATTGCTAAGAATAGATAGTACTACTTCCTTCTCCATGTGGCAAAATTCAAAAGACCATTAAAAAGTAGGATGGGAGGAAGTGAGGGAACTACCTCAGGCAATTTCCTGCTTTTCTCTCCAGGGTACTAAAACCAGCAAGACAGTCTGGGGAATTCCAAGAAGCAAGCTGCCTCTGTCCTGGAGAGTTGTTTATTTGGGCAATTAACAAAACACAAAGGGGTCCTTTAAAAATAAGTGGTAGCTGCCAGGGACACCTTGGTTTTATTCCTAACCATCCATCAGCTCACATCTTGGGCTTTTTCACTTTTTCCACTTTCTCTGCCTAAAGGCAAACTCCTCCCAGAGAGTTTTCCACTTAAAAATGTCATTTCAGGATGTAAGTTCTAAATATAAGCAAAGCCTCAGTAAGAGGCCCACAAAAACTAACACTTTTATACATACAACTGTTCAGATTAGTTATTAACAAAATCAAAATCAAAATCAAAACATGTCAAGAGTCTATGTGTCTCACATTGAACTGAAACTATGAGGATCAGGTTTGCAGCCCCCAACCACAGGATGGCTGTGTGTTCCTATAGAGTGACCTCAGCAATCAGTAAAGAAGCAAGGTGCACCCATTTTGCTGGAGGCTCCCTCGCTGGCAGAGGTGACAGTCTGTTTCTCCCTGCAAACAGCCATACTGGGTAAGTTACCTTTTGGGTTGGTTATAATATCTTGCTAAACACAAGGACTACTCAGGCAGGCAGAGTGGCAGCCTTAAAAGGGCTAAAAATCCAAATCAAATCTAGTTCTGAAGCTAAATATTATAGTGTGCTATTATGTACGCAGTTATCTCATCTATCTTCTTCTCTACCCTCAGGTAGTATATAATGAGGCATTTTAAGAGTACCAAAACTTATCATCACAATTTCTTTTCTGTGATGTTTTGGCGTTAACCAATAGGAGCCCGCCACCGCAGATCTTCCAATTATTGAGAAACTGCACTCATTTGGACCACTCTTTATCAGTCACACACACACACACACACATGCACACACACACACACGCAAGCAAGCAAACTTCTCTCAAAACAAAACACAGGTATAGTATATTGTCTTATACCATGTACATTCATATAATTTATATTTTTATTACATTTTCCCTGTAGATATGGTTAAAAGAGTTTGCATTCTATTTTCATATAACCACTGAGTTTCCCAAGTAGAACAGTTCAAGAATGTCAAAGTATGGACACTGTGGTAAGTATCACCACATTAAACTCCTTGCAGAGCCACCCCCAATCCCATTTCTAACATTTTCTCCACTACTAAGTAACCTTTATCACAAACTTGCTTCCCATTCATACTTTTACACTTTTATTATAAAATGTTTGTTTTCAGAAACAACACAATATGTGCTTTTACATATATTTTAATTTTATAATGTAAATGGTATCTTGCTTTGGGAATTTGAGGCTCATATTTTTTATAATTATCAAAAATTGATAGTTGAGACACACACTATGTCAGTCATTTTATCTACTGCATAAGTACTCCTTTATTTTGCTGTATGATGATTTGGACAGGCAGCTGTGGGGGGGATGGAAAAGCATACAGTAGATAACTTTAGTTCCAAGAATTAGAAGGGAGGCTGGGAATGTAGTTCAGTGGCACAGTGCCTGCCTGGCAAGAGGAAGGCCCTGAGCTCAATCCCTGGTACAAATTAAAAAAAAAAAAATGAGAAGGAATATGCTGGAAGAATTTGGGATAAAAAATTTAGGTAAATGGCTACTCTTTCAATGGAAGAAAACAGAAACTGAAATCCAGGCATAGAGAGTAGATCAGATCTGGGACCTTAAAGAAGATAAATGGGTGGAAAGCCTAGGGAAAATTCATGTGAAGGTCCTTGGTTATCCAGTAATGTCTTGCCTAGAAAGCAAGCGCCTTAACTTGTCCTGTATACTGCCCCTTATACTATACTAAAGGTCACAGTCACTGCCTTTTCAGCCTTTTAACATGAATAGGAAACAAGGGAGTCTTCATGTAATTTATTTCAAAATAATTGCAAATTGCATGGGGGGGATTATATTTTTCAAGACAGATACAGTTTACTTTGTAATGCTTTTACTTAAAGAATATTTTCTGTGTTCTTTTATTTGTAAAAGCTTTCATTTAAATACAGTACATGATTATGGACATCAAAATTACCTTTAAGCTTATTCAAAACAACATTTAAAAATTTTAAAAACCGACAAACCCTAAGTGTCCAAATAATGAAGACTATTTTAAAATATCAAACTTTAAGACACACAAATTAGAAACAGCAGCTAAACCAAAATAAGGTACCATCTTCCAAAACCATATCCTCTCTAAAGGTCCACACACTCTTGTCCAAAGTCCAGTCATGTCATTCTAACCAAAGACCACGAAGGCTACAACACTGACTATGTGCCCACTGTTAACCTGGGAGAAAGGTTCAGCAAAACAGCGGGACCCAGTCGCCAGTATTTCTGGGACAAGGCATAAAACAATTTGAAAGCACCGAAACAGGTGGCATCTATGCTGTAAAGAAGCTGAGAAAATGTTACCAGGTTTAATAATTAGTTACCATGATGGTGGCTAACACCAATATCTGAAAAACATGCATACATGCTTATTCGTATCAGGTTTGTATTAAACTTGCTCTAGCATTTATTTTGAAAAGTATTTCTTTCTCAACAGCATAAACAGACCTCTCAGGGGGAAAGTAGTAACTGGCCCTCTGTGGGGTGTTCACTGAAAATGCTGAGTGGCACTGGTTCCAGAACAGCTATATCAGGCATCATTAATTCTTTGAGGGATACTTGTACATAACAGAAAATACAAAATAGCATTTTTATAGGGGGGGGTTGTTTTACATGGAAATAGTAATTTCAAAAAAATGCACGGAGAAAGATAGCTTTATGTTGACATATACAGTAGGTTTTGGTCTATAAACTGAACAACCAATCAATTTCTATTAGGCAGGAGATTTTAAATGACTCACAAAATTTTTTGTGTTACTATGTAGTCAAAGCACAAGCTCCAAACAACTTATTACATTATTCTTTTTCATTAAAGATTACAATCTTTCATTTAGAGGATTTAAAATATTTGTTCTTTATCATAGATTTTTCTCATCAATTGAGAATTATCAGCTAACATTACTAGAACTGAGACTTAACTACAAAAGGAGAAATGGCTCTTAAGTAGACATAAGGAATTTAATGTATAAGTAAGCATGATCTTTATAATAATTACTGAAAATATTCCAATAAACCTACACTAAACCAAAGTCTGACTGAAGTGCTAAAGTTTTCAAATAAAACACAGAAGAAAAATATAAGTTGTTTAAACTTTCAGTGTAAATAAAAATAGAATTTTATTTTCCTAAAAGGTACTTTGTGTAATCTTATTTCTATTTTCTCATTTCTGATTTCTTATTATCAGGGGAAATATCCAAAGTTTAACCTCTTCCAAGGTGAGGGAAGGGAGTTTTAACTGTGATGCAGAAAAACAAAGTGTTTAATTCTAAAGGCATTTCTCATTGCAAACTATTAGGCCATTCACCTCTAGAACACAGAAGTGGACGTGGGAGGTACTAACAATTTATCTAGGCATATTTTCCAAGAATAATAATCCAGGGTCCTCCAGGCAGCCTAAACTTATTTTTTTAAAGAAAAAAAATAGTAATAAAATAGTCATGGTTCATGAAGTTTAGATATGAAGGCCAAATTTTTCTAAAATTAGGATCTTTCAAAAGTCATATTTTTTCTAAATGTCCAAAATGAGACTCGAAAAATCTTATCTTAAATACAGTAATTTTTTTAAAAAAAGGAATGGCCTTATTGACAATTGTCTTTAATATAAGCTAAACAGTAAATCCAAATACTTCTAGACTAGCCCTGACATAGTACTATTTGATAACAAATATACTCTAAATGTAGTGGAATATTGAGGACATTTAATTTCATTCTGCAAATTTTTAATGAAAAAAACCCCTATAATTTTTCCAAATATTATTGGCTTTAAAAATAAAAGGCTTACACAAACTATAAAAAAATCAAGTCAAGGTTCATAAATCTGTTAATACAAAAGCGTTACATGAATCAGTTCAATAAGCTCTAGATCTAATAGTACGAAGGTTAGCTGGCTCAAAGTCTTTGCCAATTCAAATGCAAAAGTACATAAATGACTCTGTATAAAATCCATATTATGAAAAACAATTCATGGATTTCCAGAACATATGAGCACTAATTCCTGATTCAGATCAATTTATACTATCTGCAGACCAAATAATGTTTTTGCATGGTTATATAATGGAATTTAAAAATTAAGGTCTTCCTATGAATAAATATGCATGTTGATTTACAATGTCTATAAGGAATTAACCTTAGAAATTATAGCAAAATCGTTACTATATGACTTTTATAAATCAGTGTTTTTTTTGTTTTCTTAATTCAATTAACATTAATCTTCCATTTGCCATTGAAGCCTAATAAGTCAGAGTATAATCACATTACCAACTGCAGAAACAGGAGAAAAGGAATAAAATAATAGTACTTACAGACTTCCTCTTCGCGGGAGGCTCAGTTCCTTCTGCAAGAGAGAAAAAAAAACACATATGGGAAATGCTGCATTAACCTTAGACTACAGGATACCAAGTGAGTAACATAAAGTATATCATCCTTCATTATGCTTGATCTGGTGTTTGCTACACTAAGAAGATTTTCATGCCATAATTTTATACTGGATTCTCCCTTACACTGTTCTCTTTGCACACTGTGTTTAAAGTACAAACACAGTTTATCTGGATTCTAGAGCACCAAAAAATAGCAATCCTCCCAAAGCAACTACAGTAACATACTGAGTTCCACAGCCCTATAATTGAGCATAAGGAAAATCTGAAGAACCAAAGGACTTTCTAAACAGGAAATAGATATAAGCAGTAGGAGAAATTTTGCAAGATTATAATTAAGTGAAATGGAAAAAGGCAATTAAATCAGGCTTCTTACCCTCAAACAGAGGAAATTTCATGCAAAGCGTTATCCATACCAAATATTATGCTTCATTATTTTTAAAGAGGTGATGCAGAAGGTTTCCTTCTGGTATTATTTCTTAAAACAAATGTGATTTACTTCTTAGAATATTTAAATGCAGGTTAGAGAACCACAACAATTACCAGTGTATTTCAGTTTTAAAAGGATGCACTCACACTTATCTCAAATTAAGATCATTATCTGATCACAGAGAAGCTATGGAGGAGAGGAGCAGAGAGTAAGAAATAAACCAAGCAAATGAGCCAACCAAACAAAAGCAGATTCAAAAATACCTCCACTCACTGATGAAATAAGTGTTCAGAAGCCTGGATACCCAAGAATGACTACTCGATGACAATAATTAAAAAATAGGAAGCACTGAATCATCTGGTCACTCAAATCTCGAAATGAAGTACAGTATAAATTCAGAAGAATCAACTCAATTTGGCTCTTCATTTCTAGCATTCTCATTTATTTTTTGTTTTCCAGGAGCTCATACATTCTCTTTTGAAAGGTGTTTCCCCTTCATCTTCTAAGTCACCTTTCCTGTCCTCTATTGGTATTGGTTCCTGAAATGTCTGTGGTGAGAGCAGTTTCAGACATCACTTCCAAACAGTGTGAGTCACTCTACCACAGCCACACAAAATGGCCTCTAGAGGATCTGACCAGAGACCAAGAAAGCTCCGTGACGCGGGATTTAAACATAGGATGTACCACCACTAGCCGGCAGGCAAGTTTCCATACAGTTACAATGATTCAATCACTATTTCATAGCAAGAGGAACAAGCAACGATTCTAGGAATGAAGTGTCCTCTTTCCCCCAATAGCTAACATTTTTCTGTTTCAAGCCTTATAAGGTTGCATGGTGAAGGCTTTATTTCTTTGTTGTTGTCTGGTTTTGCTTTTTTCTTGAAGCCTTGATTATCCACAAGAAATTATAGTGTTTGCTGTATTTGGTTCCCCGGATCTGAAATATAAATATACCTTCATTTGCTGAAGGGCCTAATGCAAGACGAAGTGGTCTTTAACCAAAACTGCTTTCCTTAGGAGCTGAAATGCAGGTACAAAAATTAGTTTTGCATTTTTGCAAAAAAATGTTGCAGGTTTTAGGAAAAGAAGAGATAGAGGTAGAGGCTGGAAAATGAGGGAGGGGCATTAGGGGGGAGGGGAAGGGGAGTGAGAGGGAGAGCGAGAGAGAATGAATGAATGAATGAATGAGTGAATGAATGAGGGCACTCCCTAGACCAGATTGTTTCTTCAGCCCTAGAGCCTAAATAGGTAATACTGCTCTGTCCAATAAGCTGATATGATGACCGCATAAAAGACACCTGAAGTATTATCACTAATATTAAAAAAGCGATAAGCCAAGTGTTACTGCAACTATATATGCAAATAGATCAGTAGGAACATTTAAAGGGGAAAGGGCCAAATAAATGACCCTAATACTGTAGTTCAATCAATCATACCCCTCCCCATGACCTGACCATAAAATGACGGCTTTGCTCTGAGGGGAAAAAAAAAAAAAAACCCCGCTGAAATAGCGAGATAAGGGATAAAAACCAACTGCGCTTTTAATCACAAGTATTTCCAGTAGGTCTAGAATTATAAGTTCTAAACAAGGAGAAAGGTTACAGTGGGTAACCCAGCCCTGTTGCTCCACAGGGCAGCAGCTGAGATTTCAACTGACCTGAAGCCACTGTGCTAACCAAGCTGAAGGAGCTAATCCACCTGACGGCTCGAATGTCAGGCTTGGAGCTGGAAACTCAATTTGGTAGCAAATTGGAATCAGATGTGATGGTAATAAAGTGAGAGAAATGAATGGGCTGTGGCCAAGACCTTGTGAACAGTAGCTGCACAAGTCTGCAAATACCAGGAGGGCTAAGCATTGCAGACAGAGCAGGGAGCAGCTACTGCCCTAATGTATGGAGACCACAGGATGATAAATCTGCACCGGTCAGACACAAATGAACAGCAGCAGGCATTTTACCTCCAAAGCCCCTGCAATACACTGTATATGTCCCCATTTTTTTTCTTAATGTCAGGATAAGGTCAATAACGCATACTAGATATTTAGATAGTACGTGTGCTACTGGTCCCTATCATAAACCAAAGTTTGCTCGTGGTGTGTATACAACATTGAAAATTTAGTGTCAGGTAAGAACTGGAGGTGGGAAAATGAGAAACAAAAAAGGAGTAGGAAATATCCATTTGAACTAAACAGTATGGTGTTTATTAATTATCGCCAGGTTGAAACAAATTCATAGTATATTAAAATAATTTTTTAAAAATTCATATTATGTTCATGATAGTGATTACTCAGTGATATTTAATATCTTTTGAGGTTGCCCTTAATCATAATTTGCTATTATATCCTTTGTCTCCTTTCTGAAAGTGTTAGCAGATACTTACACTACAAATAAAAGTGAAACAAAATCAATCTGTTTTACAAGTTGCCGTTTTCTTGAGATCCCTTGAGAAGACTAAGAAAAGTGGGGTGTGCACCTGTATCTCCACCACTTGGAAGACTGAGCAGGAGGATCACTCAAGCCCTGAAGCTAACACCCGTTCTAGGCAACAAAGTCAGGCGTTGTCTCAAAAAATACCAAAGGGTTACTCTAATGCAGGAAGGGAATTCGTGAAAAGTCCATGATAAAAAAAGGACCAATTGTGTTCATCACTTTCTCCATCCATTCTTGACCTCAACAGGAGAACATAACTTGTTTCATTCATCAGGACAAAAGAGAAAACTTCCATTTTTTTTTTTTTAATGACACTATCCTGGAATGCGGACATCAGAAATCCACAGGAATGCCAACTAGAAGAATCCAAACAGGTAATTAGACCTTTGTGCCTAGGTTCAGGAAAGAGGTAGAAGTTGGAAAGAGATTCGGGGATCTCCATCACATAAGACGATGTGAGAGCCAGGCTTCAGATGAGGAGACAATACATAGAATGAGGGAAGGAGACAGCTGTAGACACAGGGCTTGGGCACCGCACCCCTGGAGAAGTGGGAAATTGTGCTGCATAGGACTAGAGGATGGACTACACTAGCAGCACGTGGGGTTCTTGAAAACAGTGGAAAGTGAGGAAGACTGATGAGGAAGAAGACTATCTTAGGAGGAGATAACAGCGCTCTGAGGCAACAGGGTGGCTGAGCAGATGGTGCTAGAAATTGGGCAAGAACTAGGAAATTAAAGCCAGAGACTGAAGTCACATCAGGGAAGAGCTGTTAGGGCTCCTCTGCTCAGGCGAGCTCCCTCTTCAGGAAGCGCCTCTCACTGTCCCAACACTTTCCCACATAGCTCCTCCCTCGTGCCTGCCCAACTGCCCTGGGGAGCAGAAAGGAATTTGGCTCCCCTCACTAGCACAGTGGGTGGTAGGATCACATCCACCAAGCTTCACAGTTTGGGAGTCCCTCCACAAAAGGAAGGGAATTTCAAAGCTGGGCAACTTGCCTTTTCTCCTCACCCAACCCTAATTCCCTGAGCAAATAGAACGGCAATGTCTATCAGACATCTTTCCCCATCACTTTCTAGAAACCTGTAGATTTATAGCTCATACTCTGGGCTAGGGAAGTCGCTCGGGGTAAAGCACTTGCCTAGCATGCATGAGGCCCCGGGTTTCATCATTTGCAAGACAAATCAATCAAATAAAGTTTACATGCTCCCCCACTGTCATCTTTCCTTAGTCAATGGTGTCTTCTTCTTACTGAGGGTTACTACAAGTACCCTACATTGACAAACTATTAATTCAGGGAGAGAGTTCAAAGAACCAAGACATGTAAGGTAATATGTCAGGAACTGTTAGGGACCTATGGGGGGACAACAACAAACTGAAACACAATTAAAAGCCAGGGGGGGAAATACACACATAAAACAAAAAAGCTATCACCGGGTGCAAAATTCCAAAGCATAACCTGCATGTGTAAATGCTAACAAGGGAAAGAAACAACAGGAGATGAGACAATACAGCTCAGGCAGTGGTTGTGAACATTCTAATCTGGCTGAAGCAGTGATTCTGAAACCTGGAAACATGTTAATGTCACCCAGGGAGCTTTTAAAAGTACCAATGCCTGTGCACCATCCCTAGGGTTCTGGAGAGAGCTGTTTGCATACATTCTTTATTAGAGACTAGTAATTTGAGGTGCCCTTAAGGACTTTTAGTTTACATAAACCTTTATTTGGCTGTTTTTCTTTCAGGAATATCAATTTTCTAGGCTGCCATAATGGTAGTGAAGCTTGAGTTTTTAGTCATTGTCTTTGCAAGTAGGATGCGTTTTGGAGTGAGGAAAGGTCCTCCCATAGTCACTAGGGCAAAATTCTGACACAGAACTCTCCTGACCTGACAGTCCAGACGGAGCTCATTCAGGGCTAGATCCCTAAAGAAAGGATGGGATCCCTGTTTGCCTCCATTTCTGAGAGTCGTTTACGAAGGTAGAAGTAGCTTACAGAAAAGTTTACATCACAGAACAGGCTCATACACGAAAGCTTAGTCTTGAAGCATAGTAGAAGGCAAAACTGCCTTTCAAACAACCCTCAAAAATTCCACTAAGCTGCCCAT